AGGGCCGGCGCAGCGGAGCGAGGCGCCCCTGGAACGGCGCGACATGGGTGAGGAGCGGGGGTAACAACTGCTGTTACTGACGGAGGATTTGTGGAATAGTAAACGAAGTAGTGGGAATTAGTAAGAGGCTCTGAATCATGGGATGGTTTGGGTCGGAAGGGACCTGAAAGATGACCTAATTCCAACTCCTGTGCCATGGAGACCTTTCAGTCTAAGGGTTAAGCAATTAACATAAATCTGTTCTGTTACAGATGGTGTTTGAGCAGCGTTTTAGTGTGGGAAAAGCATATTACAAGTAGCGAGAATGAGAGGTGTCTGGCAGTAAGCAGAGTTACTGACTGAGAGGAAAGGGTTGCCATCTCTTAGGCCTCCATGGATCAGATAGCGGCCTTCTACCTGAAATACCTTTCTATTGAAATAGATTTTGCAGCTCTGTTCTATTACTTGCCTGTCTCACAGTAACGGTGCTTTGAGCAACACTCTGCACACTGGCAATAGATGGTCCCTGGCACCTTCTCTTTGTTTTCCACGTCTGCAGCAGGAGTGGATTCTGGGGTGAGATGGGATTAGAAAAAACAAAGCAACCTGTTACCAGTTTGAATTCCTTCTTATGCATAAGCACACAGCTCTTTGCTCCCCCTTTTCCATGGAAAAGTATCAGATGCCTAGAAGGGCAAACACAGGGAATAATTTCTATCAAAACCTCTTTCAATACAATTTTGGTTGCAGATCTCTAGTTTGTCTCTTCTCCAATACCTGTGACTCAAGCTTGTTTGGTGCTTCATTACCTTTTACAGGCTTTAGGTGGATTTACAAAATTATTATGTAGCATTAGGTATATTGGTTATAAAAATAATTGGAAATAATATTGTTATTGATTTAGAATGTTAGTATTTTTTCTACACTTGAACGTCTAATAGACATAAATCAGATATTAGTCTGGCCACAAGTACCCTTACAGTCATTTAAAGAATAAATGAGATGTTGGGACAAGCCAGTTTTGGGAGGGGAAAAAAAAAAAAGGGGGTTGGAATTTAAAATCAGCTCGTAGACTTCTCTGTAACACTAATGTTCTTAATTCAGTGCAGCTTCATATTTTGTAATAGACTGTGATTGAACACCTATCTACTGATTTATACTTAATTTTAAGAAAAATGAAGGGGATGGTCCTGTGTGAGACCATAAATATCAGAAACAATTCTTTCAGGCTTCAGCATGTCCTCATATTCTCTTTAGCATTGGAAAGATATAGTCTGATAGAAACAAAAAAGAAGTTGGTTCAGATTTTGGCAAATAAGAGTGAAAAAAAAAAAAAAAATCCCAACCACAATGAGGAAGCTTGATGCTGCTGCAATGTGATTTTCCTGGACTAAGGTACCATAAAACATCAGCAGAAACCTAGGAAGATATGTTTGGCACACAGGTATCTGGGTGACAACCTGAACTTGGCTGGTTTTACTGGAGAAAAGAAACATACTGTTGCTCAGTAAGAAATAAGGTTGCTCTGCCTGCCTTCCCACGTCCTCCATGCTGCCAGCTGCCACTGAAACATCTTTCTGTTCTGTTTTTTTTCGTAGGGGGCTTTTTCTCCACCATCTTTTCCAGTTTGTTTGGAACTCGAGAGATGAGGATTCTCATCCTGGGGCTGGATGGGGCAGGAAAAACAACTATTCTCTACAGGTTACAGGTCGGAGAAGTTGTTACCACCATTCCAAGTAAGTGATCAGTCCCTTAGTGATAAGAGCTGATGTGCCTGTAGCTTTGTCAGCTGAACTCGCTACGTGCTTCCTTCACAGACAGAAGGTCCTCAGGCTGTGGGAGCCTTGCACTGCTGTACTTAAGAACTTTCTTCCCTAACTAACTGTTACACTGTGTTGTAGAAGTTGTACTTAAAAGAATATTTCATGCGCCCTGCTGAATGCAAAAAGTATTGAACCTTAAGATTGTTACCATGATTTGGCAGGCCATTTTACCCATTTGATGGGTAAATGTTCAGTAAATGGTAACTGTTGACTCTACAAGTCTTTTGTCTCCAAATGCAGCTATGATGTGAATTCTAGAGATTGTTATTGTTGTACAAAAAACATTTTACATGGGGTGGTGTCAGTGAATCATACCCATTTAATTACTTTTTTTTTTTTGGACAAGGGTTTTCAGTTTGTTATATCAATGCCTCTGGTCAACACAGAGAAGAAGAAACCAGATGGTTTAACTTTAGATTATGTAGAAAGCTAACAAAACTTGGCGTGAGATTTATCTCCTGGAAGGAGATGGTGCTAATTTTTTAAAAAGTAACTGATTTCACCAATTGTATCAGCATTTAAGCAGCTGCACCCGCCTATTGCAAACAGCCAGGTATGTGTGCCAGAGTGGTCTGACCAGGAACACTCCACCTAATGTGACAGACAGGGGATGTTTGACTTTTGAGTCCCTGCCATGTCTCTTGTGTTTCTCCTGAGCAGCCACATTAAACTTGACTTTGGTCACAGCTCTTTTACCTTTTAGAAGCTAATAGTTTATTATTTCATAATCCTCTTGCCATACAGTTTTGCTTATATCAGCCTCCATAAATTTTAGGCTGTCTGCATCCATCCCTGACTTCCCTGCATTGTGTTTCTCTGGGCTGTCAGGAGGAGGAATGACACGTCTGATGTGTGTAAACTCGTTGCCATCTTGCAGATGTGACAGTGTCACATCTTCTGCTGTGGTCTTATGAGAGCACAGATGTGGTGTTGACATGAAGGACACATCCTTAGTGTTCTGTTGTCAGTTGTGTACCTGCTTATCAAAACAGGCCATTTCTTTAACCCTTGCTCTGTTTCTTTTGGTGTTTTTGGGGACACTTCTGTTCACTTTTACCTCTACAGTATGTTTACAATGTGTTTTTATTGTTCAAAGAAAAAAAAAATCCAGTGTTACTTTGAGCCATAAATGTTTGTTGGGGTAACTTCACAAAGGGCATAAACTTCATTATGTAGCAGCTGAGAACTTTCAGGCCTAAAAATCTGAAATGAATTCTGTTATATTCTTCAGAAAAATAAAGAAAAATCACCAACAGTAAAATTGTTTAACTTTGTTTCAGCCATTGGCTTCAATGTTGAGACAGTGACATACAAGAATCTGAAATTTCAAGTTTGGGACTTGGGAGGACAGACAAGCATAAGGTAATATAGATCTCTTAAAATCAAGAGATATAACTGAATCTCTCTAAAATGTGCCACGTTCTTGGAATTCTCAGTTGGCACTTCTGGAAATATGAATGTAAAGTTAGAAAGTTGAATTGGGGCATAGTGATTGGTAATTTTATTTATTTTTTTTTTTAGCAAGCTTTACAAGTGTTATAGTTGTAGTGATCTCTTCAGCACCCCTATACAAACTTTCTGTGACTCATTTTTCAGTGCTGGGTACTGAAGTGCAGTGCAGTTAGCTAGTTAGTAATGTGCAGGTGCTTTTCCTTTGTGGTTTCAGTAAGATAAGCCTGAAAAAGTTGCCTCGTTTTGATCCTTGTTAATTACTTGCCTGTGTGAATTAGTCATTTAAGATTTCTCCGTTTACCCTTATTTGATGACCGTAATGATTATCTAAAGCAGAAGCTTGTGTGTTTAACCTTTCTTTGCTTCCCTGTCTCTCAGTTACAGAGCTGGTCTCCTGTGAGCTGATTCCCAAATAAACCTGTCCCCAGCACTTCTCTCCTTTCTTTGTTTTCAAGATGCTTTCATTTTTTTAAAACTGTTTTTTGGTTGTTTTTTTTTTTTTTTGAGAGAGTATTTGTACTTTATGTAGCCTGTTGAAGATATCTTTACTTGCTTCTGGGGGCCTTTCACCCCCGAGACAGTTTTTATTTATTTCCTCTGGGTAATCTGATTTTCATTATCTGGCTAAAAAACACTTTCTTCTGCAGGCCATATTGGCGGTGCTACTATTCCAATACAGATGCAGTCATTTATGTAGTGGACAGCTGTGATCGAGACAGAATTGGCACTTCAAAATCAGAGCTTGTTGCTATGTTGGAGGTAAGAAAACAAGTTCTGTTCTACTGATAGGCTTGTCATCCTTGAGAGATTAAAACTTGTGACTGAAAAGCACTGATGATGCTGTGGATATTTCAGTTTTGGGCAGAATTGTCTGGGCAGTGAGTGTAACATGCAGCCTTTTGGCCATGTGAAAACTTTTCTGTCTGCAAGGACAACTGCTTAGTATGTTAAGTGGTGGCAAAATAAGGCCCCGAAGGGTTAACAGGAATTAGTATTATATTACAGAACAGTTTGGGTTTGAAAGGACCTGAAAGGTCATCTAGTTCCAACCCTCCTGCCATGGTCAGGGACACTTCTCCCTAGAGCAGGCTGCTCAAAGCTCCATCCAGCCTGGCCTTGAACTCTTCCAAGGAGGGAGAATCCACAGCCTCTCTAATCCCCTCCTAGTATGTTTTGAAGCTGGAGAACAGCTGTTAGAACAGGCTAATATGAGTAAGAAGGGTTGAACACAATTTCCCAAATTTTTTTTTTTTCCCCACCAAATTCCTGCAAGCTCTTTGATAATACCTTGGTTAAATCCAACTACCAGCTTGTTTCAGAATGGAGCAGGCAAATTGCTTCAGGTTTTGAAATTGCTCATCTGTCGTATTATGCTGTAATTGAAAGTAAATATCATTCTTTCACTGAAGAATTTTCTAAAGAACAAAAATCAGTGAAGTGGAAAATCATTGAGAGCTGCTGAAGTTTCTTTTCATTCTGTGGGTTATCTCTGCTTAAATAAATTCAGGAAAAGTTTCTGCAACAACTTTTTTTTTTTTTTTTTTCTTAGGAAGAAGAGTTGAAGAAAGCCATTTTGGTGGTGTTTGCCAATAAGCAGGACATGGATCAGGCCATGACTCCCACAGAAATGGCAAATGCACTTGGCTTGCCAGCTTTGAAGGACCGAAAATGGCAGATATTCAAAACCTCTGCAACTAAAGGCACAGGGCTTGATGAAGCAATGGAGTGGTGAGTAACAAACAGTGTAATTATGCTGTGGCTTCATTATAAAAATGGCTTTTCTTTTTTTTTTGAAAGAGTGGATCTGTGGAAAGTCTGACAAGACAGAAGTCTGCATTAGGAGAAAGAATAGCTTTTTCCTGAAATTATTTCAGTGTCGCTGCCATGACTTTTCAGTAAACTGACTTAACCTTGTCTCTAGGTTGGTGGAGGCCTTGAAGAGCAGGCAGTGATACAAAGCTGACCACTGCAAAGAAGTCGCAGCTGTAGCCAGCATACCCCCTTCCTTCTGCAGGCAGTCGAGTATTTTCAGGCCACAAATACTTGTAAATAGGAAAGATTTGACTCCTGTAATGTGGATGCTTCTTTTGAATTGTAAAACTGAACCAAGTGAATGTCTGTGTACATTATGATATACGATATTCCAGTTCTTTCTTTCTGTTTAAAGGATGTACTTACATTAATTTGTAGTCTTACTGGCCAGGAAAGGTGTGTGTTTTTTTTTTTTTTGTTCCCCCTCACCTTTCAAGCTTTTGAGTTTGTGTGATTACTATATTAATGTAAGTGAAACACTAATAAAATCTGGAACTATCACCTGTGCTCATGGGCGTTGCTTGCTAGAAGAGGCTACTTACCTACAGAAACAAGTCCAACTGCTGCCAGTTCTAAGAGCCACATAGCTGAACATTTAAAGAGGTTTTCTTAAGCTGGCATTGTGACACTTGAGAATTCTTCTGCACAGATGGCACTTAGAGTGAAGTACAGCAACAGAGACAACAAACGTACCTCTGGCTGTTAATGTTGTGTTGGTTTTCTGAAAGCAAAATAAATGTCTTCAATTCAATGGCCACCTACCACCCTGAGGTGCTACAGCTATAGTTTGAATTTAACTTCCACCTTTATAAGCTGTTACTCTCATACTCTCAGCTTAGCCAGAAATGACAGTTCAGTTGCTCAGTATCACTGCAGAAACTGAAAGACAAAGTCAGGAGGCAGATTGTTTTCTCTCCAGGAGCTGGGATGTTCACAGGCATGAATGCAAGTCATCGCATAACCCACTTTTAAAAAACTAAGTAAAATTTAAGATAAAGATGATGGTGTGCATTCAACTGTACATGCTCTGGTAAATATACAGGTTTGGAAAAAAAATTGAAAACCTTTTATTTAAGATCCTAGATGAAAAAGAGGACATGAAAAAAATACTAATAAATACAATTAAAATATGTAAATACATTTTTTTAAAACAGTAATTAGTTCCTTAGCTTGAAATTACTTTTTATAAATTAATCCTGCAGGAAGGAAAAGCCTTTTCATTCCACCGTTGCTAAATCCTTCAGTGCATGACTTCGAGGTCTCTTGGCCTTGTAGGTAGGATGCAGGAATTCTTGTTTTCTCTTCCTAGTTTCTGCTTTATTCTTATGTCGCTTCATCTTCCTCCTTGCAGCAATGTCAGGGTTTGCTACAGTCTAGGGAAAAACAGCACATCTGTGAGCTGTAGCTGAACAAACAACTGTCCCTGTAAACTTCTGGTACTTCCCAAGAAACTGGTGACTGGCAAGACAACGTGTGGGTTTTCTTGGGCTCCTCAAGACTGGGGTACTCTGGCTGCTCTGCCCAGGTCACCCCAGCTCCCTCAGCATCGCTGCCACGCAGAGCCTGCCCAGGAGCCTGATCTTAAACCCTTCTGGGAAGTTTCAGAAATAAGACAATGAAACTCTCCCACTTCAGGATGAAGTTCTTCCTCAAACTCCCCTTCCTCAGAAGAGAAGGAGACCTTACCTGCAAAGCCCTCTGCTTTTTCCTCATCGCTCTTTTCTGATTGGCCTGTTTCTGCACAGAAGAAAAGGCAAGCGAAAAAGCCTCCAGTCCAACTAACTTCTTAAGCAGTTCTATGATTTCTTGGGAAAGGTTCTTCAGTGTTGGATCTAACAAAACAGAAGTAACTTGCTTAATCTTTTCAGCATACAGAATGAAACTCGAGGGTCAGTGAGGATTTTTCTTTCTTTACTGAAGGATAACTGTACTGATTTATCTTGCCCCAAACATACTGTAGAGCCCCACACAAAGGTGCTTGTGAAATCTGCTGGTTCTTCACCAGCTTTCCCAGACAGCCACACGTGGCACTTCAGACAGACAAACAAAAAATAATGCTTCTGAGAAGTTTGTTTCAGACAGATAATGGCATCCAAGAGGTTATTATATAAAGCAAGCCACTTTTAGCTACCAGGGATCTTTCAGAATAGGCTTTGTTAGGAAACAGAGATGACTCTAGCCTTGTCAGTCAGCGCCTCTGTCTGGTATGCACAGTGAGCTGACTCTATGGTTAGGATCACCAGTTAGTTACAATCCATTAACTACAATCACTGGAAAAAAAGATACTGGAGGGTAGAAAAAAAGACTACCAATAGATGCTAAGGGAAAACTGAGAGCAGGGCAAATGTTTCCCTCAGTCTTCCAAGTGCTTGTACAGCCACCAGGGAAGCTTGTGCAAGCTGCTGCCTCCACAGTGTCACAAGTTGACAAGTTTCCTGGGCCTGCTGCCAGTAGGTGAAATTCAGTGACTGTGGCATTGCTGCCTCACCAGACAGGAGGACTGAGAGGCAATGTTTGGGCTGAGGCACAGCTCTGACACACTCGTCTTTGTGAGGGCAATCGCTTACCTTGCTCTGCGTAGGTGCTGTTCAGCTCCCTGTACAGAGGGGTGAGAATTGTTGGAAGGTACGGCTGGATCCTGTCTTTCCCCAGATCCACTGAAATTGCTCCCAGGAACTTAAAGATGCAGCTTCTCTGAAAATGAGCGTGTGGGACAGGACATAAGGAACGTTGGAAGGAAACTGCCTAAGAGAACTGCTGCAAGAGGGGCTGTGCATCGCTGGTTTAGCATACAAGGTGTCATTTCAGACACCCGAGTCAGAAACACTGCTCTTACAACACCTTACTGCAGCCAAGTACAGCCTTTAGGTGAGACACAACCCCAAGGGACCTGTAAATGTGTGAGCTGTGACTCCACTGGGCTGGCAGCTGTTAACACTTCTGAGTGGGCCTATTCTCCCTGTCCTGTGCTGCTGAGGCAGCTGAAGACCTGGAAGCTCAGCCTCACTAACACTACACGGGGCTGACCCAGTAACTGCCCATTGCCACTGCCCTGCCTGCACATGCCTAGCACTCTTGGGCTTGCAAAAGCAGCACTCTGTCCCCCTCACCTTGGTGCCTCTGCATTTACCACCATTACATCACCCCACAAGAAGGCTGGAAGATTCAGCAAGGAGCAGCAGACTGGCACAAGCCTTTCCTGAGAACCCTGAAGTGAAATGCTTGTTGCTTCTTTGGCACCTACTAATCCTTACTTCAGCACCAGCTCCCAGCACCCTCTGCAGCTGGTACCCTGGTAGCAAGAAGCCAGAGCAAGACACTTGTGGAAATGTCTACCACATCACAAGCAGTTGGTTTAACCCTATTCTTACCTTTAAAGGGATCCTAGGGGAATATGCTGCTTCTCGCTTTGCCATGAGAGACAGCTTCTTCATTAACCACAGCAACGTGGCTGGCTTCTCTTCTGTGTCCTCTCCTTCTTTCTCTCCTTGAGCAGAAATGTTTTTCTCTTCCTCATCTCCTGAGGCCTCCTGCTCTTCCACTTCACAGCTGACTTCTCCTTCAGCCTCTTTACTTTCTTCTGAGGCAGGGGCTAGCAAGTAAACAACTTTTGCCACAAAAAGTAAATTCTTTATCACCTGAAGTTTAAGAACAGAGTAGTCAGTCACTGTAGGTTCTCTCAGCATCAGCACTCAAAGTGTCCAGGGTATGTAAAAGCTAAGATGAGATCTGAAAGAGGAAATGGCCAACTCAGGCATCTGTAATGGGTTCACCATTTGCCTGCTGCTCCTAACAGGAAGGTCCACCTCAACATCCTCCTCTAGTCTGTGTATCTTGCCCCATGAGCTACCATGCTGTATTGGCTCCAGCACCTCCTCAGGCAGGGCTGCTCCTTTTGTCTTCCCAACCTCCAGCAGCCCTTGACTTTCCAACAGAAATCTCTGACCAGGTTCACAGTGGAGTGAGACCTTCAAGCAACAGCAAACAGTTGAAATAAATGGTCCCTGTAAACGGCCAGGGCTCCTGTGCAGCTGCAGGGAACCAGCACCAGAGCTCTGTATCTCTGCTCCAGGATGTGGTTGCCCAACCTGCTCTAGTCTGGGCTGCAGAGCCAGCCCCCACCCCCCTGCCAAATCAGACTCCAGTCCTCCCCTTTCTGTCCCTGCCACCCCTCCTCCAGCCTTCAGCAGGCTGGCAGCAGAAGGTGTCCTGGTCCCCTCTGAGATACACGTCTGCTCAGATGCCTTCAGCACAGAAAGCTGTCACTGCACTGTGTATTTGCCCCAAGCCCCAACCAGCCAGCAGCACTGCTGTCCTGACTAGGACTAAACAGTCCCTCACTAGCCAGTGCCTGCTCTGTGCTCTCCGGCAGCTCCAGACCTTCTGCCCTTACCTGCTCTCCGAGATACAGGTCCAGAAACTTGGACTGCAGCTGATGGCAGAATGCAAAGCTGAGTTCCTTCATCTGGGGAGAGGAAAAATGAGAAGGAAATTACTCCATGAAAGGAAGCCAGCTGCAGAAACTCAAAGCAGTGGCTTTTTCAGTCACGAAAAGTGGCTCCAAGGGGAAGCTGAGGGATTGGCTTGGCACAACTGCACACATCTTGCAGCCTAGAGGGGAGTCTTTGTACTGCTGAGAATAAGATCCCAGAGAAGCCTTCTTCCGGCAGCAAAGACATCTCAAATACTTCAAGGGATCAGGATTAGGCAACAGGCAAGCAACTAAAAGAGAAATATGCACATCAAACTACAACACTATTTTTATGTCCCAGCCAGGGCATGGGCAAAGGAGTATTACAGACGTCGTTACCTTTTTGTCCAGTTCAGCAGTCAAGAAAAATGTGGATGCAGACAGCTCTGCTGAGGTCTTTTTCCTCTTCCCTGCTTTTCTTGCCCTCCACTTGCTGACAAGATATTCTGGCTTGTAGGATGCAAACAACAAGCCAAAAATCTCAGTAGCTGTCAGCCAGACCCAGCTGTGAGGATACCACAGGTGAGACTGGACATGACCTGGGGAAAAAAAAAAAAACCTCTTTCAGCACAGGCGTTGGTCCAGTGAGCAGAAAAAGAATGAGGTCCCTCTAAGAATTACCACAGCACATGCTACAATAAAAGGTGAAGGAAATGAACTGCACTCATCTGCTCAGAACATAAAGACTTCCTCACAACTCTATCCAGCCAAAGCAGAGAGCATCAAAAAGCTACAGGTAGCCCAACATGCCCACAGTGACCAGGTGTTGTAGAATGCACACAGAGCACTCCCAAACATCCAAAGATGGGGCCATTGGTGGAAAGTGATGGCAACTGGCCAGAAAAAGTTGGCATGGCACAACACGACACTTGCTCTGATCCTGGCTGCCAAGTCATGTTTCTGCAGCAACTACGTTCCCCTCGGGGACCCACTGCTGCAGCTCCTCTGCCCGTGATGTCTGGGCAATGGGGCTATGAGACTCGGGTGAGCTGGCCCTGCTGCAGATGGTCAGGTCAAGCCCCTGGATGGAGGCTGGGGTGCTTCAGAGAAGAGATGGAGTTGCCCTCCTGTCTCGCCTCTGTCCAAGCTGCAGATCAACAAGCAACCCAGGAGTTATCTCCTACCTCACTGGAAGTCACCTGGCAGGCTGAACTCTTTGAAGACATTAACCAGCCAGATCCAGGCCTTCTTACAGCACACCAAATGAAGCAATTATAAATAAGGCAACAAAATGCCACTAAGCCAGCCTGACATTGTACAATTTCACTCATAGGGAAACATCTTGATTCAAATAACCTCCAGGCCTTAACACTCTGGCAGGAACACATGGTATTCACAGCACTATTACCATGTGTCACAGCTTGCTGGCTGGTATGTATGAGCTCATTGAGAAAATCTCATCTTCCCAGGAGAACTAAGAGGATGTAATTACAGTCAAACATGCAACAGTTTGCAACTATTTATCTTGGGATAATAGAAAAACAGCTCAGCAACTGCAACAGAGAATGCCCTGTTTTCATCAACCATGTAACCTCTTCCATTAACGTCTTCTCTTTCACTGCCCAGGAACTGCTGTGTACTAGCCTTTTGCAGCATGCAAGCCTTGTATGACAATGTTCAGTTGTTTTTTTTAGGGTGTGAAAAACCACATGGCACACTAAAAATCCTCCTCGTAACCCAGCTGTAATATTTCTTGATACTTACCCCAAATATTGCTCACAACGTCACTGTTCTTGGTTAACTGAACCAAGTTACACTCTGTGATTAGCTTTGTTACCAACACCAGGAAGCTGAATAGCAGCCTGTCTGCAGCCTTCTCCTCCTCCTCTCCAGTTATCTAAGATCAGCAAGTCAAGAAAGATCCTTATGAGAACATGAGTTTACCCTACTAGATAAATTTCAGATCAGCCATGTAAAGAAACAGAAGATTGACTTGTACCCAATTCCTATAACAAACAGAAGAGAAGCAGCTCCATCAAGGCACTTCCTCTGGAGACTGAAACTCTGAAGGAGATTATTACTCCAATCATTCTTGGTTTTTTATACAGACATTACTGTCACATACTCTTAAAACACAAGCAACTACACACACAATGTTTATCACTGCTGCCTCTACATGTATTTATGTACATTTGATTCTCATTATTAGAGCCAAACTTAGCATAGATTCCCCTGTGTCACTTGGGAAGCCTCATGTTGTTATGACAACACTGTTTGTGCACTGTGTTCTACTGAATCACCATCCGGTCCTGCCTGCAACCCCCACCTGCCTGCAACCCCCAGATGGCTTGGTGAAAGTAGCCAGTGCTTTACTTACATGTCAGGGGTAATTACACTGAATTTCTCTGTGCCACAGGTATTTTATTTTCATGTCTTGCCAATTCACATACCCCAAAGTTCTTCTCTCTTGTTCAGTAAGTTGCCTTTGCACATCAGTAACGTGAGCACTCCCCAAATGCAGGGACTGGGGTGGATCCCTTTGGGATCATCACATGCCAAGCAGAATCCAAGGCAATCTTGTTATTCTGCGTTAATTATGTGCACTACAAAGATTTTCCATCAAGTCAAACTGTGGTCTATAGTACAGGAAAGGAACTCCTTTGAAAACTTAGATGTTTAAAAGCTGTAGATTACACTAAACAAAGCAAGACAGTCACAAGTGACACACACCTGACCTTCCGCACTTACACAAGTCTCTGCAGCTAGCAGTCACTTCCTAGTTAAATAGTTGTTGTCAGGCTGTTTTGTAACTAAACAGATTCTAACCCACCGCAGACCTACCTGTGCACCCTGCCATTCTTTTTGATGATGGCTTTTGTAACTCCACTTTAAACAAAAAAGTCTCTCCTGTCACTGCAGGAAAGACCAGGAGCAGGGAAAGCTACCTCGACATACGTAGTGTGACATGCTGTCCAGCCACCAAGTCATACGGGTAAAAACCAAAAGCCCGGAACTCGAGGGTGTCTCAGGAACCCCTCCCACCCATGGAGATCTTGACAGAGGCCAGGCTAAGAAGCAATATATCTGCTTGTTACAGAGTATGCGTGCAGGCTCAGGCCAGGTGGTTTTGCAGAGTCCTTTGCTGCTTGTGCTGTGACACAACATCAGATTTAGGCTTACAGACAAAAAAAAACCCCTAGAGTTCTAGGTCAGTGAGGTCCCCTTTAGAAGAAATGTGTGTCTTTCCTCAGTCTGAAAACTGTAGGCACAACAGTTAAATCTCTCCTGCATTTCTTTCCTTTTTCAATTTTCTTAACTCTTT